TGATAATTTTAATTTAAAAAAAAAATCAAGAAGTTTTTTACTATAAAAAATTCGATTTTATAATACAAAATAATATTTTTCTAAGTCAAGGAATCATTTCCGACCCCATAAACCATATATATTCTTGATCAGCATTAACATGCGAATCTTTCTAGACATGTCCGGAAGAAATCGATTTTTTGGCCATTTTTGCGAAATTTGATAAGGGGTTACATCATTAAAATGAGCAAAATTGACCAAAAATTTTGATTTCTTAAAATTTTAAATTTGGTATGCAGTTTTTTTAAATTAATAAAAACTAAGACAAAACTGCTTTCCGAATCGAAATTAATGCATTTTTGGCTTATGTAGTTATGATATATTTTAATTGTTACCTGCAAGGGTATACAAACTTTGGCTGGCCAAAGTTAGCTTTCTTTCTTGTTTCTCTATCTTTTATCCCTAAAAAGTCCTATTTCCTTTCAATTTCTTCATTTACAAGGCATTTTCACTGCCATTACGATATATATTATATTTTCAACCAAAAACCTAGAGAATTAAAGGAAAAACACGAGGGGAAATAAGGGAAAATGAGGAAAGAGCGGCATAGCGGGAAAGCAGAAGGTGGTTAGGTGTTGAGAGCACGCGCGCCGGAAGTCACGTGATGTGTTCACTGTGACACGTACGCGACAGCAGGCAAAAAGGACGAAGGAGCAAAAGAATCAGCGGCAGCTGCATCCTTGTCCCCCCACTCCCCTCAATCATCCCACCCCCCCGCCTTCAGTTCTGTTTGCCGCCTTTGTCGCTTGTAACTTTTCAATTTGGACAAGATGGAAAGCGGGAAAGCGGTGAAAAACGTAGGGGGGTGATGGAAAACGCCAGCTGAACAAAGGCAGCAGCTACTGTTGCAGTTGGAATCATAAATGCACTGGGAAAAAATCGGTAGATTAGAGTAATTTTAACTATAAATTAAATAATTGTAATTATAATTATTAAAAATGTTTAAATATGTTTCAAACATTTTTTTAATACACTTAAAAATAAATATAATTGGAAAATTTGATTGCAAACAGTATATTCTTCCTAAAATTATATAATTTTATATATTTTATATGTCTAAAACAACTTAGAGAGTTTAATAAACATATATAATTAATTTTCATTACCAAATTAATTTGAAATATTATTTTAAAAAGGATTAGTTGAGGTCCACACAACCCTTTGATATATTTTAAAACCTTCCTAATACAAACACTAACCTCATTAAGACCAACTTTTATAAATCCCTGACATTTTCCCACTGTACTTTTGCGGAACAATCATGGGGCAGAGGAAAGCTTAAAGCCAAACTGCAAACTCGACTCATTAAAATAACTCCGAGCAGGTGTGTGTGATACATCCTGAAACAGCAAACGAGAAACCATCAGCCACCAGCGGCAGGTAAAAAAAATAAAAAAATCACCAGAGAAAACGCGACTTCGGCCCAGTTCCGGGTTAAATAATTAAATTTCGCTGCAAAAATGGCCAGCGGGCGTAAGTTATGCCGCGGCCAACGCGGCGTATGCGCAACGTTTCAGTTTTATTTAACGCTGCCTAGCCGGAAGCCAGGATCTCGTCGAGTCGAGGCTTGGGTTTTGGTTGTGGGATTGGGTTGGGTTTCGGCTTGGGTTTGGGGTTTTGGGCTGGCTCCCGGTAAAGCAGCTACCGGTGCAGGTGCAGGAGCAAGCGCATATTTCATGGCACTAATGTAGCCGGTCATAAAATCACAATGTGCAAGGCGAAGGAGTGTATAGAGCCAGGGTATGGTAACTGGGGTGGCATAGGTAAGGGAGGAACTCTAGGCGGAGCGGTAGGCGTGGCAGCATACATGTGAACAAGGTCCAACCCCTGGGCAACTCATTTAAAAAATTGTGCGGAAAAGAATTATGGAGGGAAGGTGCAGTTCTTGTTAAAGCCAAAGAAGTTGTAATGCTCTTTATTAAAAAATAAATAAAAAACAGAGAATAAACAAGGATTTAGAGAAAAAATACAAAGAAGTTCTTAAAAATAAATTTAAATAAAATTTATGTAAATATTCTTGTATCGAGAATATAAAAACATCCCAGAACTTTTCCTTTTAAACCCCTTTAACTTTTTCTTCCCAATTATTTACCCACCAAATTCCTTCCTTCTTCCACAATTACATCTTGGAATTTTAGATTCTCAAAGCAAATTCCATTCCCGAATCATTATTCCCCAGCTCAAGAAATGGAATTAATTTTTGCGCCTTTCCTAGCAATATTTTTCCCATATAAAAACTAAGCATTAAATATATATATATAAAAAAAAGACCAAGTCTCCATGGCAAATGTCAGGACACTGAGAGTTCTGGACTAGAACTACGTCTTCTGGAAGGAGGTGGCCGATGTGGGCGTGGCAGCAACACCCCAACATCAGCGTGAAACTACATGGCTGGCTGGGCATGAAAATGCCCCAAAGTGTGGGGATTTCCATAACAGGAGATGGGGGGAGAAGGGGGAAAAACAGCATGTGTTGAAATGCAAACTTGATTTTTTCCTTCCTCCTCCTCCCCCTCGGCGTCCTGCTTCTCCTTGGTGGCTTCTGTTTTCCTGGTCCGCGCGCTGACAAGCTCTGCTCATTAAATTTTATTTTATAATTACACACACCAGCAAGCACACACACACACATACTGCTACGCACACGCATACCAGCAGCACACATAGTGGCCCTCATTTAGGAGTTAGGCTTTAATGTTTTCGGGCGACGCGTAATTGGGTCCCGGATAACGCAGCTTTTTTCTCTAGGATGTGGCCGTATTTGCAGGGCATTAAGTATGTTTTGGCTTGAAGGAAAAAGCGGGAAATTCTTTTAAAAATTCGTTTTTTAAAAGGGGGAGCAAGAGTATGTTGTTTATTTTTGGAGAACTCTGCTTTCTAGTGATTAAAGTGTATTTATTTTAACTATTTTTTCAACTTAAAATTCTACATATAAAATAGTTCTTATAATTTTCAGATAAAATATAATATTTATTAATTTATTAATATTTAATATTATTAGCCTTCAAGGATTTAAGCATATTTTCTCTTGTTATTTTTGTAATCATGAACCTTTCTTCCGTTCAAAAAATATTTCTTAAAAAATTTGATTTAGTTAAAGATCCTTAACTGGGTTTTTTTTATAAACAACCCCAAAGTTATCATCCAAAGTCATGAAAATAAATACAAATAAAATAAACATTCTCTGAAGAATTGTATCTTTTTAAAAAACAAAAATCCTATCTTTTGATTGAACAAAAAAATTTAAAAACATTTCATACTAAAAGGGTACCTTGTAGTTTCTCTTTTATAATTTAAATTTCACTTAATTGTTTTTTTTTTTCGTCCTGTCCATTTGGTAAGACCTTGTAGTTTAGACCATGACGCAGGCACATTTACTTCGCTTCACGAATTAGAGCCAACAAAAACAATTGGCGGGGAAAATGTTGGCAGCAACAACTACAGGGGGGTAACGGCTATAATAGCAGGGAAATGGGGAGAAAAAAGGGTGGTAAACAGGAGGCCCTACGCAGCAGGTCGGAAGTCAGACTCCGCGTTCGGCTGGGCCGCGTCTGGTGATTAAACTAAAGTGTTCGAAAGTTAATTGGCGCAACAACAACAGCAGCAACAATTATACTTAGCCACTATTATGCCTCACGCTTGACTGGGCCCGGGAAGGGGCAGCAGAGCTGCTGCTGTGGATAAATGGGGGGTAGTGCCGCCGATTCGATATGGAATGAAACTAACGGCACTTAAACCAAATGACCAGAGAGAAAGAGCAAGAGCTAGCAGGCACAATGGTGAGTTAAACGAGGAAAAGTCAGTGAAATGTTCGGAGGTCCCGCTACCGACATTTTGGAAATGGTTAAAGTTGGCAGATAAATGACAGATAAAGACAACTGAAAGTGGGAATCGAATAAAGTAGCAGTTACCGTCGACATTTCAATTATGACTTATTCAATGGCAGAGGTATTTATGTATTTTGACATAATAAGAAAAACAAACCCATTGAGAGAGAATAAATTCATTAGTAATTGACAAGGTTTATTGCTTTTATTATCACTAATTAAGTGAATAAAATGTTGAACTCTTAAATGATATGGGAATATAATTAGTTGTATTTAAATGTGAAGTTTTTATGAGAATTTTATTTTATAAGAAATAAATTAGTATTATATTTAATTTAAAATTTGTTGTATCATATGTAAATAATTTCTTAACAAGTTTACGCTTTCTAGAACCTTAGGTTTCTTACATTTAATTATAAAATAAATTATTTAAAGCTTAATATTTCAAATTAATAAATTTATAAAGCTTAGAAAATTGTAAATAAATTATTTCTTTAGATAAAAACACCAAACTTCAACCACTGTACCACAAAAAAAAAAAAACTACTCCCAGCAATTTCCAGGGCTATTCCCCCAATATACATACTACTAAACATATATTGCTTTTTTTTGTTCCACACAAAATGGCATTATTTAAAAATGTCGATGGGTCACGCTGAACTCGTCAACGTCCTTCACTTGGTATAAACTGTAGTTTCTGTTTTCCTATTTTTTTTTTTTTCGCTGCTGGTCATTGTTGCTCCCGAACAATGTTGCTGCCGTCCTGTAATTGAAAACGGTTATTGACAAGTTAATGGCCCGAACAACCAACCAACCAAGAATCTAAACTAGCTACTGTAATTGCCTATTTGTATGCTAACCCAAATGAACCGAAAAAAATAGCTGAAGGGAGAATCTCTAATAGCTTCAGCGAATGAGTGAATAATTTAAAAGTCATGTTATTACAAATTAGTGGGTTTTTAGCAGAGGATTTTAGATATTTTTAGGAGATTTAATTTAGTAAAATGAAATAAAAGAATATTTCTTCAAAATAAATATTTTAAAATATATTTTTAAGTTTTGCAAACCCAAAACAAACCCCTTTCCTAATTTTATAAAATATTTCATATTTTCCCAACAAATGTTACTTATTTTCCAGACTATCCCCGCGTGGAGGTGGGACCCCAGAACCCTCTCCGCATTGAACGCGACCATGTGGCCAAGTTGGAGTGCCGCGTGGATGCCAAGCCCATGGTCAGCAATGTGCGTTGGTCCAGGAATGGCCAATATGTAAGTGCCACGCCCATTCATACGATCTATCGGGTGAATCGTCATCATGCCGGGAAATACACCTGCAATGCGGATAATGGTTTGGGCAAAACGGGAGAAAAGGACATCGTCTTGGATGTCCTGTACCCACCCATTGTGGTGATCGAATCCAAGACCCATGAGGCTGAGGAGGGAGAAACCGTGCTCATTCGTTGCAATGTCACTGCCAATCCATCACCAATAAATATAGAATGGTTAAAAGAGGGAGCTCCCGACTTTAGACATACCGGAGAGCTCTTAACCTTGGGTTCCGTGAGGGCAGAACATGCTGGAAACTATATCTGCAGATCGGTGAATATCATGCAACCTTTCAACTCCAAGAGAATCGAGGGTGTGGGCAACTCCACGGTGGCTTTGCTGGTCCGCCATCGTCCTGGTCAGGCTTATATAACGCCCAATAAGCCAGTGGTTCATGTGGGCAATGGTGTTACCCTAACCTGCTCCGCCAATCCACCGGGCTGGCCTGTGCCACAGTATCGCTGGTTCCGGGACATGGACGGTGATATTGGAAATACGCAAAAGATCCTGGCCCAAGGCCCGCAGTACTCCATCCCAAAGGCACACCTGGGCAGCGAGGGCAAGTACCATTGTCATGCGGTGAATGAGTTGGGCATTGGTAAGATAGCCACCATCATACTGGAGGTGCATCAGCCGCCGCAATTCCTGGCCAAGCTGCAGCAACACATGACAAGAAGAGTGGGAGATGTAGACTATGCGGTGACCTGCAGTGCCAAGGGTAAACCCACTCCGCAAATTAGATGGATTAAAGATGGCACTGAGATCCTGCCCACGCGGAAGATGTTTGATATAAGGACCACGCCCACAGACGCCGGCGGTGGTGTGGTGGCCGTGCAGAGTATTTTAAGGTTCAGGGGCAAGGTCAGACCCAATGGGAATCAGTTGTTACCCAACGATAGAGGCTTATTCACCTGCCTGTACGAGAATGATGTGAATTCTGCCAACTCATCGATGCATCTGCGGATCGAACATGAACCTATTATTATTCATCAATATAACAAAGTGGCCTACGATTTGAGGGAATCTGCAGAAGTGGTCTGCCGGGTTCAGGCCTATCCCAAACCCGAATTTCAATGGCAATATGGCAACAATCCCTCGCCTTTGACCATGTCCTCGGATGGTCACTATGAGATTAGTACCAGAATGGAGAATAATGATATTTATACCTCCATCCTGAGGATAGCTCACCTGCAGCACTCGGACTATGGGGAATACATCTGTCGGGCAGTGAATCCCTTGGATAGCATAAGAGCCCCGATAAGATTACAACCCAAGGGAGCCCCCGAGAAGCCCACGAATCTAAAGATCCTGGAAGTGGGTCACAACTATGCCGTACTTAGCTGGCAACCCGGCTTCAATGGTGGCTTCATGGGCACCAAATATCTGATAAGCTATCGTCGGGTGGCCACACCCAGGGAGCAAAGCCTGTCGGATTGCTCGGGACATGGCTATATACCCAGCTATCAGATCAGCTCTTCCAGCAATTCCAATCACGAGTGGATCGAGTTCAATTGCTTCAAGGAGAATCCCTGCAAGCTGGCGCCTTTGGATCAGCACCAGAGCTACATGTTCAAGGTTTATGCCTTGAACTCCAAGGGAACTTCGGGTTATTCCAATGAGGTTTTGGCCACCACAAAAGTCAGCAAGATTCCACCTCCATTGCACGTTAGCTATGATCCCAATTCCCATGTTTTGGGCATCAATGTGGCTGCCACTTGCTTATCCCTGATTGCCGTGGTGGAATCGTTGGTTACCCGCGATGCCACTGTACCCATGTGGGAGATTGTGGAGACTCTGCCACTGCCTTCTTCGGGCAGTGAGACCACCTTCAAGGAGGCTGTTATTAATCACATGTCCAGGCCAGCTCACTATACCACGGCTACCACATCTGGCAGGAGTCTGGGAGTGGGAGGAGGAGCGGTAGGCACTCATCTGGGTGAGGATCGCACCATGGCCTTGGCGGAGACAGCGGGTCCTGGGCCAGTGGTGCGGGTGAAGCTGTGCCTGAGATCAAACCATGAACACTGCGGGGCCTATGCGAATGCAGAAAGTAAGTCCAAATAAATTATTAAAAATAAGTTCTTAATTTCCCCAACTTAACACTTATTTTCAGTTGGTAAATCCTACATGCCTCACAACTCCTCCATGACCACCTCCGCCCTGGTGGCCATCATCATTGCCTCGCTTTCCTTCTGCGTCTTCTTGGCCCTGCTCTATGCCTTCTGTCGCTGCCGCAGGACTCATGCCGCCAAAAAGGACAGTGCTGGGGATGCCAACACAACTCCTGGAGGAGGAGGAGCAGGAGCAGGAGGCATTCCAGCCGGGGGCAAAGAGTACGACCTTGACTTGGACGCCAGCCGTAGACCTTCGCTCAACGAAAACGACCCGCAGCAATCCCAGCAGCAGCAGCAACCCCTACCACCGCCCCCATACTATCCCAGTGGCAGCCTGGACTCCAAGGATATGGTGGGTGGTAATGGTGGCATGGAACTCACCCTCACTGCCCTCCACGATCCCGACGAGCAGTTGAATATGCAACAGCAGCAGCACCACAATAACCACGGCCAGTACCAGCAGCCCAAAGCCATTCTGGGAATTTACGGAGGCGGTGGGGGAGGAGGTGGAGGAGGAGGTGGTGCAGGAGCTGGAGCCAGTTCCGGCGGACAGCATCCACATTCGAACGGCTATGGCTATCATGTGACAAGTGCCATCGGCGTGGACGGCGACAGCTATCAAGTGCTGCCCACCGCTGGCAACTCAGCAGCCGGATCGCATGGACACGGACATGGACATGGCCTGGGTGCCGGAGAGTGTGAGTACAGCCGAAGAAAAAAATTAATGAAATTTTAATTAAGGGGGGAAGAAACTATTAATTAATTATTGGGAAATAGGTGAGACATATTTCTATAATTTTATTAAGGATTTTGGGTAAAGGAATTGAGGTTTTTAAAGGCAGAATCCTTAAGATTTCCTTTATAAGATATACACAATTTCCCCCCAAGTTTCTTCCACTTTTTCCCCAATATTTTTCCCTGACTGTAGAAATTTCGTTTAGTCCCGGCGACAACTTATGAAGAGACGTGGCTCTGCGGCTCTGAAAATGTGGGCTAGAATTGGGAACGAATGAGATGCGAAGAGAGGGTGTGGATCGGATGGCGTGAAATCCCCCGCTTTCGGTGGGCGAGTGTGTGTCTCTATGTGTGTGTGTGTGTCTTGATTAAGCGACACATTTTTCGTCGCAGATTTATGGCGGCCATTGCGATGGTCCGTCTCCGTTCCCCGCATTACCGAGCCTTCCCTGGCCAGAGTTTTTGGCCGTAATTGCATTTCATGTCAATCTAGAGCGGATCCTCCTCCACTTACCGAGCTACTCATGCAAATGCAGCGACAGCGCAACCGAATTTCGCCCAATTTTCCATGGTGTTTGGTGTCGGGCATAAGCAGCTCGCCTTGGAAACCGAAATGACACCAATGGGCAACGGAAACGGAAACAGGAGCGGCTGAAAATGTTGCCGTCGTAATTCCAATTAAGTGAGAATTAAGCCGTTATCCTTCTGCCGGCTATGTCCCCTCTCGATGTATCGTCCAGTGTGGATGTGTGTGTGTGTGTTGGCCCTGTATTATTGCCCGTTTTTAATTGGTTACAAGGCGGCTCAAGAGCTTTGTGAAATCCAAAAGCAATCGTCAGGGGATTTTTAATGGCCATATGTGTTTTTAATTGATTTAAGAACTCACTTAATGGCAGTTCGTTTGACGTTAAGACAAAGTCAAGTTAAGAGCTGAGAGATTTTTAATTAAATACTTTGAAAGTAATTTTAGGAAGCTTAAAAATAAAGTATTAATTGGTAAACAAACATTTTTCTAGAGAAATTTTGTATATATATTGAAGACTTTATATGCATAATATAATTAAAAAACTAGTAGTTTTTGCTATAGAATCAGTTGCACATTTTGGTGCCTCTTGTTTTCATTAGTTTTAGCCTAAAGTTTTTGGTTGCACTTTCCATTCAACTTTGAAAATAACGAAACAAAGTTCTCAAACTTTTAAATTTAATAAATAAATGCAAGGTAATTATTTCAGTTTTACCTATACATTTTTATTCTTAAATAATCCCCTTAAAGAGGTCTACCACTTAGGCTTTAATCCGATTAGGCCGTCGAACTTAACCCAAACCCGAAGGGGTTCCTCAACTTATTTTTCACCTTCGCTTACCTGAGTTTTCTGCTAACGGAAGCAAGTGAAAAGAAGCTGGGAAGGGGAACAATAAAGAAGTGAACTCTATTCACACCTAAATGGAAAGCTACAAGTTTAAAACTGAATGAAGGGGAGATTTGGCACTTGGAAAAATAAATTATTAAATAATAATCATATACGAATTATATATATTTCTTTCTTAAAGTTAAAGTTATCCGACTTTATCCTTTATAAAAATCTAGTAATTATATATTTTTAATTTATTTAAATACAAATTACTAGACATTATTTCTCCAAGTGATCTCCCCTTAAGAATGCATTTTAATTGTGGGGTTCCGCTGGCTTTTGTTGCTCTCTTTCTTTTGCGCCTCCCTTTGGCAAGCGTCAACTTAATTACTATTTCTCTGCCCTCGCTCCTGAAACGCACACACACACAACCCACACACTTATACACGCTCCACACACACACACATCGTTGGTGGGTGCTCTCTGTGTGTGCGGTTGCAACCGAAGCAGGACCACTTGAGGCGACACCAGCAACATGCAGCATCGGCGGCGGCAGCAACATTAATCCCATGCAGCAGCAGCAGCAGCACCAACATAAAGCACGCGCCAATCTAACGAACCAACCCACCATTCCCGGCAACTCCACCAACAACACCACCAACATAACCCAGAACACCAACAACAACACCACCTTGAAGCGCAGCCATCTGGGAAATAGAGAAAGGGAAAGGTCGCTGGTGACCGCAGCCACAGCGGCAACAACAACAGCATTGGCCACCACCATAACAACAACTTCTCGTAACGCCAAAACCGCCACAACAACTACAACACTTGCCATCACAGGTAACTTCAGCTAAGGCCAGCGAGAAAAAAAAAAACAGAGCAACTTTAACTTTCGCACCTCACCACCAACTAAACCAAATAAACCAAAGCACTGAATGTTGCACATACTGAAAAAAAAAGAAAAAGCAAGCACCTTGTTAATGTTGATATTTTCTCACTAATTGTTACTGCACTCTGAAATATTTGTAATAGCGGGGAAAATAATTTAAAAGCAATTAAGGGGTGTTGGAGTACTATTTGATAGTGGTGTTTTCTGTTGGTGAATATATTTCTGTTGGTGATATATTTTTTCTAACTCTATTGTTGATGCACTTTAAAAGTTATTAAATTTAAATTAAGAGGTTTTTGTGAAAAACGTGTGTTTTAGGATGAGCTCTGAAATATACGTCTTACTGTTGAAATAATTAAAAATATTAGAGGCGAATTTGTGTTAAAGTCGTGCTTTGGTGAAACTTTTCAGAATGAGGAAAATTTTGGATAGTTCAACCTACGAGTTCAAAAACAATTCCTTATCCCCTTAACCAGAACAACTTTCTATACCTTTCCCTTATGTGTCCGAATGGTTGACACTGTAAAACAAAAACGTTTAAAACCAAACAGAACAAACACAGAAATCTCATTATATACCTTCACGATTAAATGCGTACAAAAATCTCGAAAACAAACAAAAAAAAATTTACATTTGAGTCTCTGGAATAAGCCATTGTTGGAATGTCTTCGCTTCTGCCGTTGATCTACCGAAGACCATGTCCCCGCTTGATGATCCTGTCCAGCCGTAGCTTTTTCAAGTCGTGCTTCAAGGCACCTCAAGCAAAGGAATCCTCCACGCCGGCCATTACCGAGTTCTCCAAGAAAAAGACCAAGACGCAGTCCCAACCCTCGCAGTCGCAGGCTTCGCAATCCACTCAGGCTTCCCTACCACAAGAGGCAGCCACTCCTACGCCCTCCCAGCCGCCCCCCTCGGAAGGCATGCCAAGTCCTCTGGGCAACCAGAAACCTTGTGCCCAGCCCATTATACCCGATCAGCGGGCGAAATGGATGGCCAAAGTCTCACCGGAAATGCAGAAGAAAGCCAAGTTGGCAGCTGGCGGTGGGAATCCACCCCCAAGTCAGCCGAAGAACAACTTCAATCAAAGCAATAATCCCAGCTTTGGGAGTCCTAGTCAAAGTTCTGTTTCGAATTTCGGGGGAATGCCCAGGAATCAACAACAGCAGCAGCAGCATCAACAGAAAAAGCAGGAACCTGACGACTCTGGGGCTTTCAAGGGCGCCTCCAGCGAGTCACAGCGACAGAGTTGGATGAATCGCATGCAGGGATCACAGCAGAAGCAGGCGCAGTGGCTCAAGGACATGCAGGCCAAGCAGCAGGCAGGCAGAGATATTCAGGCTCAGAAGGTGCAGAATATGCAGCAGGTAAAGCCGGCTCAGACATCAGATAATGCATCTTCGGCGCAGTCAGGATCTGTTCCTCCTGCCGAACCGGAAAAGCCCGAGGAACAAACACCAGAACGCTTGGCCTATTTGGATGCCATCAAACAGCTGAATAGCTACCAGGCTCTGGAACCCGTTGCCGGCAGAACCACCACCAAAAGCTTCAAATCCGAACAGGATCCAACAATAGAACAAACTTTGGAGTGTCTGGAGAAGACCGGCTTTAGCAGGGAGCAACTAAAGGCCATACCCGTGATCCAAGTAGCTGGCTCCAAGGGAAGAGGTTCAACTTGTGGCATCGTGGAGAGTATATTGCGTTGTCATGGCGTAAAAACGGGAGTCCTCAGTTCACCTCATCTCTTTCTGACCAGCGAACGAATACGGATCGATGGTGAGCCTTTGGAGGAAGTGGCATTCACACAACTCTTTTGGAAAATCAACATGGAGTTGGCGCAAATGAATCCTCCGCCATCGTATAACAAAATCTTGACGGTAATGGCTTTTCATGCCTTCCAAAAGGCTGGCGTGGAAGTGGCTATTTTAGAGGTGGGTCCTGGAGGTGCCAGCGATGCCACGAATGTAGCCTCTCATGCCCAAACCATTGGCATCACCAGTCTAGGCTGGGAGCAAAGCTCGAATCTGAGCAACTCCTTGCGGGATATAGCCTGGGCCAAGGCGGCGATCATGAAGCCGGAGGCCAGTATTTTCACCAATGTAACCCAAACGGAATGCTGTGAGGTTCTGGCCCAGAAGGCCAACCAAATCGGTGTGCAGCTGCAAAAAGTGCCCAGCTTCAATGACTATATCGAGGGGAATCCGAGCATTAAGCAGGCAATGAACACCGCCAACTATACCATGAGACTTAATGGTTCCCTGGGCATACAATTGGCCTATGACTTCCTGCGCCGCCACAGGCCCGAATATGTTGTTGGTGTGGCCGATAACTGCACTATATTAACGCCAGGTGCCACGCGTGGCATCGAGACCTTCGAACAGCCCGGACAATTTGATTTTATCAAGCACGACATGTACAATGTCTATCTGGACAGTGCCGACACCTTCGAGTCCATGATGGCGTGCCAGAATTGGTTCTACGGCAGGACTCGCTCAAGTCGCCAGCCAAAGATTTTGCTTTTCAACAAGGTGAACGAGTTCAATGCCAAGGATCTGCTGACCATTCTCCGTAGTCAGATTCGCTTCGAGGAGGCCTACTTTGTGTCCTGTCCGAATTTCTTTGAAGGTCAAACTTTGGTCGAGGAGGAGGGCAAGGGAACGGTCTGGGACGGCATGGAGGATCTTCAACGTGCCAGGCGGAATGCCGGCAGTTGGAGGTCCCTGTGCGAGGAGAACGGGAAAAAGGACAGCTCACAGCTGTCCATTTCGATTAATGCCTTCTTCGATGCCCTCCAGAACAAATACGGGCGACAGGCGTACGGCATGAAGAGCGAACTGGACATACTGGTCACAGGCTCTCGACCATTAGTGGCCGCCACCATCGCGTTTCTACGGAAAATGAAGGCAACGGCAAAGCCATGGAGCGGACCCGGAAGACGATAGATCCATGGGACATTACCCTTTGGTCATCTTACCATAAATTTTGCCGTGAAAGTTTTCGTTATTTTGTTTGAATCATTTTTACTCGTAAGCTGCAAATGCAAGTCAAATTAAATAAAAGCACCATTTTGAATTAAGAAAAGTAGTATTATTGCACCAATGAATGAGTTGGAATGCGTTTTTATATAATTTTGAAATGAAAGGGAATTTATATTATTTATATTTGTAAAGATAAATTGGATTGTGTGATATATAATGGTGGTTTTGTACATTTTCTTGTCACACTTGTTAAACAAAGTCCTAAACACTTTTCTTTATTATGGAAGCCAGGCTATATTAATAGCAACCACGTGTGGCTCTCTTTTGGACAGCTGGCTGATGGGCATGACTGGACTTAGTACCTACATTATATATATACATAACCATGTGTGTATTTTCCAATTAGCCACTGTGACTTTCAAGTTTCTTCACTCACCTTAAGCACTGGCCACCTTTCTTACTTTCGTCACCTGTTTTTTGCCATAGATGCACAACTGTATAAAACTAACTAGTGACTAGCTGCTTAGTAATTTAAGCCACAATAACTCAATATAAATGTGTGCTAATTTCCAGGGTCGAGCAACAATTCCACCGAGAACAACTACAGCAATGCCAGGGATCTGTCGCAGGAGGCATTGTGGCGTCTTCAATTGGCTGCCGCTGCCCAGTCTCAGCAGATTTATGTAGAGCGACCGCCATCGGCATTTAGTGGCTTGGTGGACTACAGTGGCTATTCGCCGCACATCCAGACGGTGACCAGTTCCCTTAGCCAGCAGAGTTTCACGCCACAAAGTGGAAGCTCGGCGGTGGCGCAACCCCTGGCGCCCCACGAAATGTTGCAGGCAGCGCAGCGTTACGGAACTCTGAGGAAATCCGGAAAGCAACCTCCTTTGCCACCGCAGCGTAAGGATCTGCAACAGCAGCAGCAGCAACAGTCGAAACCGCAACAGCAATTGGGTGAGTTTATAATTTCAAAATTAATTGGAGAAGCTTAAGGCTTTAAAATTATTTTTATTAAATTTTAATGCTCTTTAACTTTACAAAAAATTTTTTTTATAAATTTGTAATGTTTTCAAATCTCTTACTAATTAAATTTTTAACCTTAAAGCTCCTTTTATACATTTCGAAAAGCTTAGAATAATCTTTAAAAGATAACATAAAATATCAATTAAAATATAACTTGCTGCCACTTAAGAAACATATCCTATTTTCCCTATTAATGTAATTATTCTTGTAATTAGAATTTTTCTTGTAACAATAAAAAACAATATCCAATTCAAGAAATATTCCATTCGCAAATCCAATACCAACACAAATCTGTAGACCAAAAATCCGAAATCGGTTGAGGCGACTAAGAAATCAGTTTGATTGATTATGCACTTAAGTGGTGGGAAATGTTTGGCTAAGAGTTGATGCTGCTGCTGTTGCTTCCAGCTCAAGCTGCTCGGATAAATAAAATAGAATTTCCTCACTGTCGGGACAATGGAAGGCCCACACATACATACACCCTCCAATGCTGTATAGAATTTGCATCTGTATATCCTTTTATGCAACAGCAGCAGTAGCAGAGAGGCAGGATGCACCAATGTACACAGATAAATGCACATAAAATAGTCAGCTCTGGGGGCTGCTCCGAAAAACAACAAATCGCTTGCAACGACAACTATAGCAGGAGATCCTCCTGCTGCTCCTCCTCCTTCAAAAAATAGAATGAAAAGGAGTCGAAATATTGCAAAATACCAAAACAAACTATGGCGAAACGAAAGGAGATGGATGGTTGGATAGAGGAGCCAGCGAACGAGCGCTATTAAAAATGTAAAATGCAAGAGCAGAAAATATTTTACAAAATCAAAATCAAACAACGCTGCCAGCTGTAAGTGAAGTGAAACGCCGAAGCGAAACTGAACACATGCACACACACACTCCCTAAAATACAAACACCACAACCAAACACACTATACACTGGCAAAAACTATGGATTGTAAGTAAAACGTAGTAGAAACTGATGGGAAATGCAATACAAAAATCTATATTTTAAGCTGGCAGTGTAATTGAAATTGATTGCAAAAAAGCAACAAGTTTTAACTAAATAAAATAACTGTGAACCTAGAGACCTTAAAAAAAGTTTAACAACTCAGCAATTTTGATTTTAGATAAAGAACAAATACCTTAAAAATATATTAAGCTATAAAATGGTTATCTAAACTAGCTTTACACTTAATGGAACAAAATGGGTTCTATATTTCAATCAACTTATATTTTAAAATCTATTTTATATATTTTTAAATATTTAATATTGCCTTAATTTAACTTTATTATATATTCTCGATTATTTTCCCTACTGAACCCTTACTTTTTAACTTCCAATTCCTTAAAGAAATCCTAATAATACTATATTAACACCAAATTCTATTTCTTAACTTTTTTTATTTATTTTAATATTTTAAAATATTAATTTTTACCATTATTTACCTCTGTTTTATATGTCCTATTATTTTCCCCCACAAAACCCTCAATTTATGACTCCTACTTGCTGATGTTTACCTGCATTTCTATTAGAATTCCATGCCCCTTAACCGCATGATCTCAGCGAACGATAAATTGATTGATTTTTCTCCATTGTCGGCCGCAATGCCACATGGAATGCATAAAAAGGATTTCGATTGCGATTGGGAATGCGAATGCGAATGCGAAAGCAAATGCTATATCTACAGATATATCTACAGCTATAGCTTAATGCTAGAGTGCTCGGCATTTACTTTCAACTATGGTTGCGGTTATTCTTCTGGCACACACACGGCGTATGCGTGATTTTTGTGTTGTTATGCATAAGATATCCGTTTCGTATTCCGTTTCATATTCCGCATACGCCCCGTATTACGGCATGGTATCTGCTAAATGCTGCTTCAATTAGACAGACCCCAGACAAAGCAAAAGTGTGAGCCAGAGAGAGAGACTGCGGCGATTGCGGTCTCTCCGCAGCGTGTGGACCAAAACAATTGTTTTTCCCAACCACCGGGGAGTGGAAAATCGTCGAGAAAATGGGGCAAAACATCCTGGACCAGCTTTCATATTTAGCCGTATACATTATGAACTGCTTCTAATCGGCTTAGAAAAGAGAAGCAGCTGCAGTTGCAGCAGCCAGCCAGCGGAGGAGCAAAAACATTTCAATTAAAACAAAAGCCATGGCCAAAGACTCTACTTTCCTGTGTCTCCTGTTGCCTGTTTTTTCAACTCCTCCTGGTGCTCCTCCTCCGGCTTCTCCAGCTCTCCTGCAGTTCGTGTGCCGCATTTTTGGCCACAAAGCAACAAAGCGGAGCCCAAAAAAACCGAAAGCAACAACGAAAATATGCCAACTCAAGATGGGCAAAAGGAAAAAGTGAGAAAGATGAACAGCTGCGGTCCAAGCGAAGCCACAAATACCCTTAATGATCATTGATAAAGACAACTTTTGAGCCTTTATTTCTCAGAGAGAGAAGGCTGGATTTTTTGTTGAACATTGTGTGGGAAGGATACTTAAACAAAGAAGAACTTGTACTAACTGAATGTTCCTCACTACTAAGACCACAGAAATGGTTTTTATTATTGATAAAAATGTTTGTTTTTTAAGCAAACTCGTAGAGCTCTTTGTGGCATTCTTTTCTGGCCAGCAAATATGTAAATATCCTTTTTCCTGCACCAAGGTTGCAAAAAACTGCAACCAAAATGGTTGAAAGATGGGTTAAAAGGGTTGGCGTAGTGTCAGCTCAATCCTACAGATGAAGACGAGAGCCTGGGTTACCTGGCGGCAGTTGCTTCACTTTTTCTTTTGTGCTGCCACCTCTTTCAGTCTCCCAAAGGAAGACTCCTCCAAAGGGGACACAGGACTTGGGACTCAGAACCCAAGTTGAATGGCAAGTGGAACTTGAGGGCCAGTTTAAAGCAATAAAAGCAATAGCAGGCAGTGGCAGACTTTTGTTAACCCGCTCCTCCTTCAGCGAACCACTTTATATTGGCCCCAACCCTGGTTTTGACTTTATACAAGAGGAAAAAATAGAAAAAAAAAACAACAAGAGAAGCAAGGAAACAACGGTAGAAGCCAAATATTTCGCTGTTGTTTCAATGCCCGAAATTGCACTGCAAAGTATGCTATGCTTTCCAGCTGCCGGCTTTCCTCGATTTGTGCGCAATCCCAATTGCCGATTTGCGGGCTTTCTCTACCTCTACTTCTCCTCTAGTTTGGCCAAAATAAAGTCCAGTCCAAAGAGCACAAATCACAGAGCGCGTTACGCAATGCCAAACATTTTTATTTCGAGTGTTTCGCTCCATTCGCTGTATTGAATTGCAGCTGCCCCGCCTGGCATTCGTTTCAATTCAGAGCTCTCGGGCTTGCCTTTTGCCGTGAGTTTCAATTAGTCCTGTCCTCCTGTGAGTGTGTGTGTATGGGGGGGGGGTTTCTGTGTTCTCAATATCATTTTCTCCTAGTTTAGGGTGTTGATACCAAGGAATTCGCCAAAACAGCGTTTGAGTGATTAAATTTCGATCAAGCTGAAGTTGATTGTGAGGAAGAAAGGAAAGTGCACTCAACATTAAATGCATTTGGATTCAATTAGGTAAAGTGGTCAAGTTTAAATAAAATTAATTGTTGAGGCATTTTTTTGGAATGAAAAATTAATTAAAAACAAGAAAGAAAGCTAACTTTGGCCAGCCAAAGTTTGTATACCTTTGCAGGTAACAATTAAAATATATCATAACTAAGCCAAAAATGCATTAATTTCGATTCGGAAAGCAGTTTTGTGTTAGTTTTTATTAATTTAAAAAAACTGCATACCAAATTTAAAATTTTAAGAAATCAAAATTTTTGGCCATTTTTGCTCATTTTAATGATGTAACCCCTTATCAAATTTCGCAAAAATGGCCAAAAAATCGATTTGTTCCGGACATGTCTAGAAAGATTCCCCTGTTGATGCTGATCAAGAATATACATGGTTTATGGGGTCGGAAATGATTCCTTGACTTAGAAAAATATTATTTTGTATTATAAAATCTGATTTTTTATATTAAAAAGCTTCTTGATTTTTTTTTTAAATTAAAAATATCATAACTCGGCCAAAAGAGCATTAATTTTAAATCGGAAAACTGTTCTGTGCAAGATTTTCTACAGTTAATAAATCTGCATACTTCATTTAATAATTTTGAAAATTAAATTTTTTATTAAAATCCAAAATTTTAATGATGTAACCCCTTATAAAATTTTGCAAAAATGGCCAAAAAATCGATTTCTTCCTGACATATCTAGAAAGATTCCCCTGTTGATGCTGATCAAGAATATATATACTTTATAGGGTCGGAAACGTCTCCTTCACTGCGTTGCAAACTTCTGGCTGAAATTATAATAACCTGCAAGGTTATAAAAATATAACTACAATATTTTTTAATGATTTTTTTAAGGGATGCCAAATATTACAGTCTCCTTAATTTTCAATTTTCCCTATTTCCCAATTACAATTTCACCATTTAAATTGCAATAAAAATTGGTTTACAAGTCCCTGCATCGAACAATATAGTTTCCATGTCTAACAAATTAATTTCAAAAACATGGCAAATCTCGGTTAGCCAAATCAGAGGTATAATCATAAATTTTTGGTTATCCATTAAATTTGTTTGGCTGCTCGCCTGGTCGGTTTGTTATTCCTGTTGATTAGATTTAGCTTTTTGTTTTCGGTTTCTATTTGCATTCCCTGTGTAAATTGTATGTGCGATTTGTTTTTTCCTCTCTTTTTTTTTGGGGGGTTTTGCATGATTTTGTGGCTTTTGGGAAAATACAAACGAAACGCAAAAATTAACAATTGGAGGCATATTAACCGCATCAATTTCCGTAGAACAACGGCAGCAACAAAGCGTGTACAGATCATTAAACAAACATTTACACGGATAAGGGATATACAGTTGTGGGCAAAATGATAGTTCTTACATTTTAAGGGAGTTTTTATTTACATGCAAAAATAGGAAAAGATTTATAAGGTTATACACATAATATGGCATTATTTTAGTCAGCATTTATATATATTTTTTTGATTAAAAAGTTCAGTTGAAAATATTTAAATAATTTTAGAGAATTAATTGTTGTGATTTTTAGTTAGTTGCTTACCTATTTCTTTGGTTTAAAAGTTAACTAAATTTGTTTTAAAATGTTTTAAATTTTACATTACATTAAATTAATTTTGTTTGGAGAGTAATTTCTCCACCACTATTGTCCACACCTGTTCATACACTCACACACACAAACATACGCCAGCAGCATCTACACACACACACCTTCAGCATTATTTATTACGCCATGGGGCCAAGCCACAACTTTCGACAAATTTTTTGGCAAAACATTTTACGTAATAAATTTATTTTAATTACAACGCCGAAAGTGCGGCGAAAGTGGGTTGGTGGATGGCAAGTGCAAGAGAGATAGCATCACCGAGTGGGTGTTGTTGTTGTTTTTGTTGTTGCTGTGGTTGGTAATGAATGCGCTTCAATTAAATGAAATATTCATAGGCATAAATACAAGAGCAAGCCGCCCAAAGAAGGGATGCGCAGAGGGTTGTCCTGTCAAGTCGGGGGTGCACAGGTAAAGTACAGGTAGAGTAGCATTACACAGGCAGCATCCTGAGGCACCTTATGGCGGGCGGAAGCAGCTTGTTTTATGGGCCAACAGAAGCCATCAGGACTATCAGGAGTCCAAGGGCTTGGAGGCGGACAACATGGGAGTCAAGGGGTCAAACATTAAGCGACTTTATAAGGGGGTTTCGGGAAGATAGTATCTCAACGATAATTAAATACTCTAATAAATCAATTTACATATTTTAATTGGCACAAGAATCTGGTAAGAAATAAAGATGAACTCTAGATTGAATTAAAAGAAATTAATTAATAATTAAACCCTTTTTATTTAAATTGAAATGCAATCAATAGTGAAATCTCCTATTCAATTAAAAATAAGTAAAATATAAATTTAAAAAAATTATAAATCTGAAGACCCTTGAACTTACCTGGAAAAGTTAATCAACCCTCACACCAACCACCCACGAGTAAAAAATAATGTCGGAAAACTCATTGCCAGCCCATTGGAGCCGTTTTGCAGCTTGTTAATTACGGCCTGGCCAAAATGGTTTGTTCACAGAGGGGGAAAAATGGTTGAAAAGCGACGGAAAACTGGGCGGAAAACAGAGAGGGAGAAAGGGAAAAGCGCCTGATGGCCATTGACTCTACCCCAGCGAGCTGTGTGTAATGCATCTTTTCAAACAATTTACCAATTTGGCCGCTTCGCCGGTCGTCTGTCTTTCTGTTTTCTCCCCCCAACAACAACAACAACAACCCGCTCTCATAAAATGTTTATTAGGTAATGAAACATAACAACAAGCGGTCAACATAAAGCTCAAACGACCGTGTCACATTTTGTGGAGGGAAACCTAAAAACGGTGGCGAAAATATAAGCGTTAATTGAGTTTTTCCATGGAGCAGCGAGAAATGCAAACGAAAAACTCAGAGATACGAATTTCGAAAGTATTTTATTGTGGGAAACGAACGAGAATTTCCACAAACCACTTGACTTCAAGTGGAGTGTGTGGTGTGTGCTGAAAATGTATTTATGCAAAAGCTGCAATTGTCAGAGGCAAGTCAAAGTGCATAAAGTGTCAGCTCAAATCAGCGCCAAAGCCTGGGAAAAGCGGGGAAAATCATGCTAAGAGGTGGAGTCAATGCCGAGCATTTTCCGACAGTGACAAGTGGAAAAGGTTATTGCGAAAGAGAGAGAGAGAGAGCGCGCGACCAAAGCCACAGCTCACCTCGTCGTATGTGAAGTGTTTTGGCATTTGAATCGAGCTTTTGGCGCTTCAACTTCCATATAGAAATAGATCACGATATAGAACCTATATAAATGCAACGAATATAATGCGAATAGAATATAGAATGTAGTACGAGATGCATTTAAATAAAAATACAAATACAAATAGAAATGAATGGGGCATTCAGCGAGGCATTATGCTGATTGAATGCAAATCCAAATGCATTTGGAGCGAATTTTTTATAAATACAAAACTCTCAATATATATTATGATAAATCTATATCCACAGTCTGACCTGGTTCCAAATAAAATAAGGGATATAAAACGAGTCCCTGGCAAATTAATAGCTTAGTGAAACACACTTACATGCCTGCATTAATTAATTTAAATTGCACATTTCACCATTATTTATTAATGAGCTTAAATCGCACTAAACGCAAATCGATTTTTCTCTCTTTTCCTCTCGTTGCAGCGGATATAATACAGGATTTGGCAAATTAAACTAATTGCCAGTTAAGAGAGACAACAAAAAAAAGGGCAAACAAATACCATTTTGACATTAGCATTTAAGTAAGTAAAAATATGGATAACAAAAAACTTTAAATATTTAGCTGTTTAAGTGGCGTGAAAAATGCTAACCAAGCTAATTAAGAGAAAACTTGCCTATTTCGACCAAAAAAAACAGAACACGCTGTACATGTAAAATCTCTGCAGAAATACCAAACAAAAAAAAGAGTAAATAAAACTAAAGTTAAGTCAAGCTAGAACTTAAAAATTTCAAATATTTGTCTAAAGTATTCTCCCCCTTTCGTCTGATTTTTTAAAGCCAAGCTTCTAACGAGTTTGTAGTATGAAAAATAAACTGAAAACTAGTAAATTAAAAGCACACAAAAAACTTGCATAAAATTGCCAAAGCAACAGCACTTCATTTCTCCTATATATATTTTATTTATATTTAAAATAATAATTTATTCGTTGCATGGCCAAAATATTGAGGTCCATGGCGACAAACTGCAATAACACGGCCATAATATTCTGGTCAAATCATTGTTAAACCAACAGCCAAACACAAAAGCCACCTTTTTGAGGTTTCTATGTCCTGTATACATTTTTTTTGCTTTTTTCTGTAGAGTAAAAATATGGAAATTGCGTTCGTTTAAATCAAATAAAAGAGACAAAATGTTCATTTAATTGCTTTTCCAGCCAAACCAAAAACAAGAGCAATCAAAATCAAACTTCGACACAATGGCAAAAACGAAAAAAAAAAGGGGTAAAATCCTAGGAGTTTGGAAAAGCGTTGCTGCGACTCCTCTCATTAGCTTTTGTCTCCGTTGGGGCATTAAATTGTAACGAATATTTGTGTTTGCTCGGATCGACTAATTGCGCTGCTAATTTCAATTGTTCGCCTATAATAATGCAAAAATTGTAATTACAAATTAACAATTGGTCGACTGTGTCCAGTGTCCGTTGGTGACCTAAAATTAGATTGTGTAAATTTGCAAATTAATTTGCCATTTTGCACAAAGCACTCGCTTCAGCGAAATCAGAGCACACATTATCAATTTATTTACTGTGTTTACTGTGTGCAATCTGTAAATAGTTGACACGCCCACCACCCCCTTGACAAAAATAAAACAAAAAACACTAGAGTTATTAAATTGTTGTAACCAAAATAACTTTAAAACTGAACGCTGCCAGTCGTCAAAAGTCCAAGTGAGTTGCATTTACACATAGACAGATATTGATATATATATACAGTACATATAAATACACAAAAAGGCAACCGCAAAATATGAAAATTAAAATAGCAAAACTATCTTTTAGCATAACAAAAACAGGAGAAAAATCTTTGAAATAAAATCATAATAGTTGCAAAAGAAAGAAATAATCAATCAACACAAACACACAAAATGGAATTCAATATAAATTTTAAGCTGCGGGATACGAACGAGTTTAAAAATGATTTCTGTAAACTAAATAGAGAATAAAAAACTTTAGTTACTTGTGATTACCACAATCATTTCTATCCAACTTTCCAAAAACTTTCTCCTAGTGTCTAGTGTCTGAGGTGAAAATCTAATAAAGATAGATTTTTCTTTTACTTTTTCACTTTACTAAATAAAATTGTATATCGCTTTTAGGATGTAACCATCAAAAATGGGTTGTAAAATCATTTAGTTGTACATCTATCTACATATATTTTCCCATATTTTCCCATATTTTCCCATATTTCCAAACCAAACTCTTGACAACGGACAGCCCTTTAGCAATCAGTGATATATGTAGTGGCGGAGGAAACCAAATAAAATAAACTAAAAGACCGAATCGAATCTTTTTTATGGCATCGAGAAATATCTTTAATCTTTAATCCAATAGCTATTGTTGCTCGGGCTACGTTATGAAATATTCAAGTAATAAATTCTCATAATTGAAGCATTTATTTTATGTGATGTTTTAGCAAACAGAATGGACGGTCAGTATTTTTTGGGGGTGTGTTTGCCTAACAAATTATGCATACAAATTTAGTTAAATAAATTAACTTCAATTTTAAATGAATGTTGCGCATATTTTTAGCTCTCCCAATAGCAATAGAGGCCATTTAAATGGCAAATTAAACTTTAAGTGAACTGTAAATACATAAAACACAGAGTAAACCAAAGAAAACAGATATTTCATTCCAAATAAAATGTGTGTTTTAAAATATAAACACGAAAACTTATAGAGATTATTAGTATTAAGTAAAATGGAAAGATTTTGGGAGACTCTTTGTGTTGGTCTGGGCAACATAGATTTCCCTTTAAATGGTTACTTGAAATCCTTAAAAGTTTAATTAATTTGTTTTAGAATTTGTACTATACAAAAAACTTGTTTTTTTTTACTATTTAACTAATATTTAAACCCAGACCATGGTACACAATTTTCCAAGATCTTCTTAGTTCTAAGCAAAAAATTATTCATAATCCAAAACCAAATGAGATCAAAATAGTCTATAAACTTAAGCCTAAGTCTTCAACTATGTTTAACTGTCCACATTTTATAATTTCCTCTTCAACTTAATGTAAACTATTTGAAACGGTTCTTTAATGAAAAATTTAACAAGAAACAACTGAAAAGCTAAAATGTTCGCGCCAGGCGCTTGTAACATTTTACTGAAACATTTTTATGGCGAAACCAAACATTAAACTAATTTTAAATGTAAACCTAGACCGTAATTGATATACGATATTATACAATGTAAAAGCAAAACATATATACGATAATTATAAAGTAAATAAAATGAGAATTAAACCAAACAGAGTGTTTTTTTTTCAGTCAGTTGCTCTACAACATTAGACTCGGCTGGTAGGCATCTCGTTTCCTGGCCCAAATTTGTGTGTTTTTGTTCTCGTTTCTCATATTCATTCATATTTTGGTCAAAATGCTTCAAGATTACCTCGTAGGGGAGTTCTGCTCCTTGGCCTCTATTCCCATGTCTGTCCTCATATTAATGGTGCTCCTATACTGTGCCACCGGCAAAATGCAACTATACCAAGCACCTTTGGCCCAAGTCCCGAAAAGTACAATAGAAACGCGAGGCGGAAAAGCGAGCGAAGGGAACAACAGGAGACGAAGGAGGAGCAGGAGGAGAAGGTGGCGGAGGAGGAGGAGGAGGAGGAGCATCGTGTCCGCCATGCAGGTAAATTGAAAAATGTTTGCAATTGTTTTTACCATCTTTTCACGCTTTTGTTGTACTTTTTTCGGGGCACAATTAAGGTGGGAAAAAATGTCAGTTTGCTCATGGGATACTCTTTCGGTGTGGGGTTATCATTTGTATATCCTTTAGGAAACATAATGTTTTTAAGAGTACATTTCGTAAATGATATATTAAACAAATGTATTAGGATCTAAGGCTCAGGATCCACAAAAATTCCACAAAGGTAATTCAAATAAAATATAGAAACCAAACTTGAATTACTGGAAGTAATAATTCTTATAAAAATGTAAGTCTTGTCGTATTTCTACTTAATTTTTTTCATAATTCTTATAATTTCATCTTAATTTTCATTTTGTGAACTTATTAATTTAATATTTACATATATTTTTATTGCAAAACTATAAGAAATGTTTACCTTATTGTATTTTATATTGGTTAAACTTAAAATTTATAAATTTAATTTCAACTTAAATTAAAAAATGTAGTGTTTTATGTTTATGTAGTCTTTATCTTATAATAAAATACATTTTCAATATGATTAAATTATAAAACAAAGTATTTTATGGCTTCTAAATGAAAGTGTGTTGTTTTTTTGAAAGTTTAAAAGGATCCAATTCTTCACTAACATTTTTATTATTTAATTTTATTATTTTTTTTTTTTTTTCTTGTCTGCCTGGCAACTCTGAACTCGGTTTTGTGGTGTTTGTGTGTGAGTGCGCCCTGCTGGCAAACCGCAAAATGGTGACATTGTGCAAATAAAAAACAATTTACGATAAACATCAAATTTCCACAAATTACCTTATATTTTACGTGAGTTGCGAAACAGATTGTAAAACACAAACACACATACATGCAGACAGCGCGGGAAAAGTGAAAAAAAAAAGAAAACCGCGATTCGCAGATTTTACACTGCGTTGAGCATTTGGCTTTCCGTTTTTTTTCTTTTTTTTTTTTTTGGCCATTGTTTGTGCAGCCGCATGACAAAGGGGAGGGTGTAGGGGTAAATTTCCCCCGGAGTGGTAAGAGACAAGGGGGAGTTGGGGCGCCACTTTAAACGTGCCTCACGCCTACACTTAAATTTCGAAATTTGCAATTATTTTTATTGCTCGCCATTTTGCTTGCCTCCCTGACTTTTTTTCCACACCACCCCCCTTCGCCACCACTGTTTACTGTGTGTGTGTGTGTCTGTGTGTGTGTGTGTGTGGCTTTAGCCCCAAGGTACAAAAAAGGAGCAGAATGGGGGTCATGAGCCCAGCTCGTAGGCCATTTCAAGTGCCCTTCATAAATTTACACGAAGCAGAAACGGAGAAAAATTGTTCTTTATATGGAGAAATAAATATAAATGCTTGTTAGGCATGTAAATCAGAGGGTCTAAGGCATAACAAGTAGTGAGATTACGTTCCTAAAATATATATCATAAGTACACTATAATTGGAACTTGAATATAAAGTTAAAACTAAAGAAATTTATTAGAAAACTATGGAAACTTAAGAAAAAATAGGATTTTTTATTTTTTGGTAATTATTTGTGTTTATATAATTTGATTTATTGTGGATTTTTCTTTAAATATTTGCTTTAAAGTTTACAAAATAATTTTTAAAATTTTAAATGCTTTAAATCCCCACAAGAATATCTTTCTAAATAAAGTTTAATGTATATTTACCAACTTATTCTCTTAAAACTGCAACATAATTAATGAAAATTAGCAAATACCCCAAGCAAAGTGCAACCGTCTTGACATTTGTGGGTCTACCAGAAAATCTCCTACCTGCAGGCCCCCTAATTGATGTCGCCAGGTGTCGTCGCACCCTCATAAACACCCTTATAGCCGAGACGGCGGGCCAGTTCATTGGCCGAAATCTTGGCTTTTTAGCCAGGCCAGAGGGCCAATAATTAGGAGTGTCTATAAGCCAGGGCTAAAAAAAATGATAAGCGGGCTGGCAAGTAGACAGCGGACATGGCAAACTCAAATAGACAGGGGAGAAAACTTAGCCTT